GCACAGCCCCCCTACCCGTGGGATCGCACAGGGCCCCCTAGGAGCAGGCCACACACAATCTCGCATCGGCAGATTGCGCCTGAGTCAGGCAGACAGCAGACAAGGAGAGGAGAGAGGAGAGAGAGAGAGAGAGGAGAGAGGAGAGGGTGAGGGTGTGTGCACACGTGTGGAGCAGGGAGGGTGTCTGTGGTGGGCTATAGTCATACTACGTGGTTACAACCACGCGCCCCTCAGGAGCTAAGGTAGAGCTGAGCGTCCAAGACGCCTCGGTGCCTCCCACCGGGTGAGACCATCCGGATCTGCCTGCCTCGCCTCCGGCGATACAGTCCCCGCGATGGCCCACGGTCCTCCGTCGCCTGGTTGACCCCCTGCCTCCCGGTTGACCCCCCAGTCCTTGTAGTCCATCATGAAATAAACTCAAAGATCCACCACAGCCACCACCCTCCGCCTCCACCGTCGAGCCGCGATCGCTGCCGCCCGCGACGCCGCCCGCCGCGTCAGATTGCCGCGACGCGCGCCTCGAGTCGAGTCGGAGAGCCGCGCCGCACCAGCACCAGCATCAGCACCAGCAGCACCAGCAGCACCAGCACCACCAGCACCAGAGAGAGGCGCAACCTGCCCGACGCCGCCGTGTCAGATGCTCCCGACGCGCGTCTCGAGCCGAGTCGCAGAGCCGCGCCGCACCAGCAGCAGCATATGCACCAGCAGCAGCAACATCACCACCAGCAGCAGCACCAGAGAGAGACAGTGCAGTGTGACAGCAGCGCAGAAGCGCTCGCAGAGCGGCGCGCAGCGCCGCTCTGCGAGCACACACACACACACACACACTCAGTGAGACGGGCATCGCGGATCAGAGAGACTGGGATCTCTCCTGCTCTCGGCGATGGGGGCAGAGATTCCAAACTTGACTCTTCGGCGCAGAGCATGGTGCCATGCTGCCCGCGGCACCGACCACGGCGCGCCAGCGTTCACCACCTCACCTCACCTCGCCTCGCAGGAAGTGACCACCGTGCCGACGAGCCCCATTGCCGGGCAGAAGCCCGGCACGTCCGGCCTGCGGCAGAAGACAAAGACGTTCATGTCGGAGCACTACCTGGAGAATTTTGTGCAGTCTACGCTCGACGCTCTGGTGGCCGAGGGCGTCCCGGTCAAGGGCGGCACGCTGGTCATCTCCGGCGACGGCCGCTACCACAACAAGACCGCCATCCAGATCATCATCAAGATGGCGGCCGCTGCAGGCGTGGGC